AAACAATTTCAGGCTCTTAACTATTTGAATATGTTTGACTATTTAAAGTATTGAAATATCTATGGCCTCATAAGTCACAGATGACTGAATACTTCTATTTTTGCGACTTTGTTTAGAAATTTAAACTCGATTCTTTCCCTTATAAAATGTTCATGGTTCAGCTCTAACAAAGGTTGTCGATGCGCAAAGTTGACTCAGATTCGATTCGCTCCAAACATTAACTTTTTGCTTTCAACTTACAGAATTTACAACAATCTGGTGCATTTCAAAATATGTGTTTATCACTTTCATCTTGACTGGCAGGAGAACAATAGTTTTAGTCTGTGAGTTCACCCTTAACGCTTCTCAGTCTTTAACCCACCTATGGATGTACCTGACATTGATTTTATGACCATCACACAACTAGATAAGAAGCCAATCAGAGTGATGAAAGCAGGACCAGCATCTGTCGTCCATATGTTAAACTGTTTAAGGATTAAAAAAATTTCTATTACGGTATATTTATAGGAAGTCGGCATTAAAAAAACTACACATGTTTTATAACATACTATGAACTATTAAATGAGAGTATATGAACAATTATTAGTATATATATATACAATATCCTACCTCATGTTTAATCTATTAAATGGTCTCGGAGGGGAGCTTTTAAATAGTATCGAAAAATATCATAAACACAAATGCGATACAATAGATTTTTGTAATTAACTCCTCTACTCACTTTAGCATCCAATACTCCATAAGCAAGACCTAGTATTGATAGTCATCAAGTACTTGAGTTATTGACTCCGCTTCCATCGCCAAGGTCATTTGATGAGTAATTTAAATTACTTGATGTAGCGAGCGGAGGCCCAAAAAGCCTCCAGCGTTTGCTGTGTGCAAATCGTTGTTCTAAATTCAAACTTGAAAAATGTGTTTAGTCTAAGTGGCTCGTCCTTGTTTATCCCGTGTTCTTGAGACATTGTTACTGAAAAGAAGCCTCAGGTCAAATTAAAATTTTTAAAGCCCCTGAAAAACTCACAGCTCAAGCTTTTCTTCAAGACATGAAACATCGACTAAATGAGTCACATGATTACAAATCTAAAAGTAACGCAGTTTGCCATTGTGTCAATCTTCAGTACTGGCTATCACATGATCCACACCGGTGTGGTTTTATAGACTTCTGAATGGCTCTCTATGCGTCAGTTGCTCCTTCTACATTATCCCAAATCCCATTAATATAATCGTTTACTATTATTCATCAAAAATAAACATCTGTATAATATAATGTTATATATTCATCAAAATAAACATCTGTCAATGTTAACCCCTGTTAATCAGGGGTTAATTCTGGCTCTGTCATCTTGTGTCACAAGCCTTTCTTTGTTGTTTTCCAAAAAACCAGAAACACATTCAGTTTGAATAAAGTTTATTACATTATCATGTGAAGCTGCAGGAAGTGTTTATTTTCCCAGGTTGGGTTTTCACAGCAAACAGCACCTGAACGCAGCACGACTTTTGGCATCTCAGTCATGACCGCAGACCTGCTCCATGACTGTTGCTATAGTAACCTGAAACTGTCCATGTACAACCTGACAGAGCGTTCCTTGTTTTCAGGTGTGAGATCTGAATCTCAGTTCACTTCTCTGTCTTTTCTTTTCCACGTGACACAGCGACGTTTCATAAAATAAAAACTCATCGGAGAGTTTTTGTATTACCACAGATACAGTTTTACACCAACAACCAAAAAAAAAAGAAAATCCTATAGAAAATCACTTATTATAATAGAAAAAGGTGATGAGATTCTCTGCGTTGCCATGGTGATAATCAGTGTTTCAGGTGGTCGACAGGCGACACCTATCGACCGGTCGTACTGTCCTCTTCCCCAGGTTTGGTTCAACTCACACAGTCAGTATACACAGGTTCAGCATAAATACAACTGCATCCAGAAGGTGAGACTTCGTTCGCCCTGAGTTTCGCCTCTCAGGCTGCGTTCAAACCCCGAACCCGATTAAAGTACTGTGAGCAGGTTACTCAGATCTTAATGCCACAGTGTAGAAATACTCGGTTACAGGTAAAAGTCTAGTGCTCAAAGTGAAAGTACTCATTTTGCAGAATGGATCATTTCAGAATGATATATCATGTTATTTGATTATAATTATTGATGCATTAATGGGTCGAGATCACTTGTGGTAAAAGTGGAGCTAATTATAAACGACTATATATACTGCTGGGGGGGTTTTTTGTATTAATAAGATAAATGTAGTAAATCAAAACGTAGAATATTTGCTCTGAAATGTGAAGTAAAAGTAAAACGCAGCACAAAATTAAACTCATTAAACACCTCACACTTGAACGCAGCACGAGTGAATGGACCACTGACTGTGGGAGGAATCTCCTCCTGAGAGACTGAACTCAGGGCCAGAAAATCTCACACACATTCCTCCTCAGAGTAAAGCGACCGTCAGTCGATCTGTGGGGTCGATTAACGATCATCAATCAAAATCAACAGTTTAAAGGATCAGTCTGTGGTTTTATATACATACATATATGTAAAGTTTAAACGAACCCAACGTGCAGACTCAAACCAACAGTGTCCGTCACTCTATGTAGATGTTCTCTGCTTTTCTTTGTTTGAACTCTTTATATCTTTACGTCTGATGACATCAGCTAATGGACTTTTTTCAACATTATTTGACATTTTAATGAACTGAGCTACAATAAAAAAAAAAAAAAGCTCTGCAGATAAACTGGAGATGAAAATACTTATTAGTTGCAGCTCTAAAAGAAAACTCCCACAGAGCACAGCATGGAGCAGTGGTGGAGGAGTTTGTTGAATGGTGATGAGGTCTTCCTCCAATAGAATACCTCAACATGGACATGGTTACTGACTTTAGGGAGACGGCGGCTCACTCACTATCTCACAGCGTCACAAGTGTCAGTGAAATATCTTGGAGCATCATCGACAAAGATCTGACATTTCATACACATTCAGAGGAGGTCTGTCAGGAGGGACAGCAACGTTTGTACGTCCTGAGGAAGTGAAATGTTTTTAATGTGGACAGAAAAACCATGTAATTATTTTATAAATCTTTTATCCACTCTGTCCTAACCATCTGTTTGGTTGCCTGGTAACCTGAGGAGTAATTCATCCTGTGTGTCCCCAATAACTCTGCTGAGTAAATTGTCATTTCATAGTGTTATGTGTGATGTGTCACTTTCTACCTGTTTTCTATCTGACTGTGTTTCAAGTTTCCCACCTGGGATGATAAAATGAAATCTGAACCTGATTATTGAATCTGAAAAACACTCAGTACTGTGGGTTTAATTGTATTGTAATAAAACATCAGTTTATTTGAAGCAGGAGGAACGAGTGCATTTGTTGGGGACTATTTTCAGTGGCGGATTAATCCACATTTGGTTCTCTAGTGAGTATTTGAGTGTGTGACTGAGTCAGAATAAATGTGTGTGTTCATGGTGATGAAGGAACATTTCCTGTAGTCTCTGGTGAAACGGTGGAGCTCAGAGGAATAAGATGTATCAGGGTGTCATTCACATGATAAAAGGAGACAGTCAGTGTTGGTTTGGATCTGCACATGGGATTTGTTGATTTTAAGGAAAATGGAGAATATAATTATGATAAATATTCTACCTTTAAAGTCAGGAGTCAGCAGCAGTTCGCTGCCTGTAACCTGATGCTCTTGTGAACTTCGGCTGCAGCTGCTCTCGTGTCTCTAAATAACTTCAGTGTGAGCAGTCTGCTCTCTACAGTTTTCTCGGGAATACAATTCAGGAGGAAACACTGATTGCTCTTAATTTTTTTTTTTTGGCATGAAAACAATCAAATGGCACAAAGTTTAGCCCTGTGAGTGACGAGTCCTCGTGTTCACACCCATTCCTGTGCAAAAACACCCGACACGGCAAATTAAAAATATACTAAAGCAGATAAAAATATCGACGCAGTCTTTTCCTCATATGACACAGTGCATCCAGGTTCATTAAATTGCAGTGTGCGGCTAACTGGCTAACGATGCTAACAGTCAGAGGAAGCCAGTCAGTCAGAAACAGAGACGTTTGGTTTCCTGGTGGTGTAAAAATCCCTGGTTTGAATGGAGTCTGCCGCGCTGCATTCACACGACAACAGAGAAACCACAATCAGTCTACAGAGGTCAGACTCTCAGGACGTTTCCTTCACTTTCTCACATTCAAGTGACGTTGGCGTTAAAGGCGGCGGGGACAGGAAGTCTGGACGCTCTCAGGACGTTAATGCAGGTGATCCAGTGGTGAACTAAAGAGTTTAACGGATAATTTCCACCTTTAAGACACTTCAACACTGTCACACATCTTCAGTCTGGGATGTCTGATAGATTCACTTGGGTTAGCCTCAAACTTCACATCAAAACTCTGAGAATCACTGTGACATTTTCTTTTAACCAAACAGAGAAATAAAATACTTCTTTAAAATTTGTGCCTCTTTGGGATCCTCAGCTTCCAGTTCAACAGAATCATCATGGATCTGGTTTGAGTGGTTTCCCTTTGACCTCAGAGGAGGAGCAGTGATGTCACAGGAAAAGGAGTAAATAATTTCCATTAATATTTCAATCGACATTAAAAACAGGAATTGTAAAAAGAATTTATTAATGAACGATTAATCATCAATAAATACAGTTTCAGTAAATCTGTTTTTGAATCTTAGATATTGATGGATTCATCGTTCATTTATGAATAATTTTTAATATTCCTGTTTTTAATTCCTATTAAAATATGAAATTAAAGAAAATGCTTTATTACTTTTCCTGTGACGTCGCTGCTCCTCCATACAGACAGAGATCAGAAGATTTTAATCCAATGGTTAACGAGGCTGACGTCTGTCCACATCTGTCACACGTCTGGTTCACTGGAGAGAATCCAGAATGTGTTTTAACGTCCGCCAAAGGAGCAGAAGGATTGTTGTAGATCACTGACGGATCGACTGAATGAGATCAGGACTGATGGACCCAGGAGATCCAGAACAGCCCAGAGATCAGATTTAACGGTGTTGAAGTGTGAAGTGTCAGGTGAGGTTTGCTTGGTGATAAAACTAAATGAGGTGAGCGTACATTCCCTGAAGAAACACCAGCCAGCAGTCACAAACATCCACGTACCACACAGATCCAGATCCAGATCCAGATTCAGGTCCAGAAGAGAGGAACTGAAACCCAGAGGAGCTCTGCACTCAGACGCTGTTGCATACTGTAATTTTACAATTTTAGAGGGAGAGACAGCGCCGGGGCGAGCCAGGTGGCGGAGACCAAGCGCACCTGCACAGCAGCAGCAGCAGGGGTGTGTTACATTCCTATGACAGTGCTGAGCAGAGGGGAGGTGCAATCAGACGGCACCAGTGCGTTCATTCACAGAAAGAAAGAAAGTCACCTCCAGTAACAATAATCTGTCTTCAAACCAGCCAATCAGAGTGAAGCGCTTTGATTTGTATCCCTACTTAGCATGAGTTAGCATGATATCATGTATTTAGCATGATAACCTTTAGAACCTTTTTCGCCGGGTTCTCAGTTTTGAAGCAATAAGTCGGAAACATTCAAATGTTTCAAGTTATAACTGAAAACTGATTATGTTTGATGCTAAAGTACGACGATTAACGTAGCAACGTGGTAGCATCAGTAGCTAAGAGCTGCAGCATTGTGAACTGTCAACTGATATGTCACGAAAATTACACTAAAATTACATTTATTAACAGCCAAAAAAGTTAATGGTCGATAAAGTGAATTCTTTATAGTGTATTCACTACACAGTGGTCACTATAGACAAGTGTACAGTGACAATTAACTATTTTGGCAGTTAATTTCCAAATCATGTAGTATGATGACATTTTTACGCTTGCTCTTAGCTAGCAAACGTTCGTTAGCAAGATGGCTAACTAACTCTATAGGGAATATTCATAAACTTGGTAGTGCTGTTAGATTGCTAGCTAGTAGTTAGCCAGCTCACTAACTACCTAACCTCAGTTTAGCAGCACAACTTTTAATAACATAATTGCAAAATTTCAATAATGGGGACAAAGCTAACAAGCTAACTTCTCAATATTTTATAATGCTAACAACAGTGATGTGAAATGTGGGATGCATTGTAGCTGCGTAGTACTTGTTCATAATCTTGTAAACCTGCTCATTAGCTAGTAAAGGTTAGTTAGCTAACCAGTCCAAATTGGCTAACACTGGTTTATTAGTAACAAAGTTTGTGGAGTGAGTTATAGCCACTTTTTTTTTTTTAAGAGTACAAAATTGACCTAACCCTAAACGGTGCAGAGACCCGAGTGTCCGAGAGTGCTTTTTTTATTTTACCGATGAGCTCAGTTTATAGTCCTCTACATTGACTCCCTAGATGGTGAGGAGGGAGGAGAGAATGAGTGAGTGATTTTGGACACAACCATAGCATCCCTCCTCTGTTACTGAGCAAATGTGTGTTAGCTAGAGTTAGGTGTTAGGTAGAGGACTGAATTACAAACAGCTTTTTTACTGCAGGAAAATAAAATGTTGATGGTAATTAATACATTTTTGGCTGCTAACAAGTTCATTCTGTATTTGGCTTATTGATGTCACAGGTGACCGTTTGGAAATGTGATTGGCTGGCTTGATGACAGACGACATTTCAACTGACAACGACAAGTTTTAAACTTTAAATAAAGAAACAGAGTAAAGACAGGCTGTAGAGGACAGTAGCTGCTTCCTGTTTGTTCTGGTAAATTCCCAGTCCAGTCTACCTGGATCCAGTTTCCTGATGGTCCAGTTCATAGTCTGACCCCTAGCTGATTTCAGGGCTGCCATCTTGGCTCCCAAATTGTTTCCTGGCTGTTGCTAGGTAACCAGCTCTGCGGGGACAGGGACTGAGGTTGAAGAAGAAGAAGAGGAGGAGAAGAGAGAGTGTCATCCAGGTGTGGTAGGCGGGGCGCCCTGAATGGTTAAACAGGTGGTGCAGGGGCGGGTCTTTGAGGCACCAGCGGCTGTGATGCAGCAGAAGGTTTTGGTTTTCTGAGGAAGAAATTAAAAACAGAAGTCAACATCTCTAACACTAAAACTGCAATATCTCCTTTTTACTTTTCTGTTTCTACACCTGTTCAACAAACTGGGTACAACATGGGTCAGAATTTGAGCTGTTAAGGTAGATTTGATCCCCAATAGAGCCAGGCTAACACCACCACCCTTCAGACTCAGCTTCTAGGCCAAATTAGCTTTGATATATGTCTAGCTTCAATACTTTAGATAATAAATCGTTTAGAGTTAGTTTCAACTTCTAGGTCCAGTTGGCTGAGAGTTAGTTTCTAGGGCCAGTTAGCTTAGTTTCCACTTCTAAGTTTAGCTTGAGCGGCATTAGCTACAACTTCTAGGTCCAGTTAGCTCGACTTAGTTTAACTTGTAGATCCTCACACAGATATTAGTTTATACTATATACTGTAGCTATACAAGCTAACAAGTGACAGAGCTAGCTAACCCTAACCCTCACCAGTGCTGTGCTAAGCTAACTAGCTCGATAAGTGCATAGTGAACACCTGTTGGTGATATAGAGCCACCTGTACTTGTGTTGTCATCTGTTTATACTTATTTTTTTTAACTTATTTTCAAATACATTACTAGAATTTTTTGTCTGTTAGAGCTACCAGTTTCCCCCTGTTTCCAGTGTTTGTGCTAAGCTAAGCTAACCATGTACTAGACACAGATGCAACTGATCCATCTGGAAACACCTGATTCTGGAGAAGACGGAGAACAAGGAGGTTTATCAAACTTATCAATACTTTGTCTTTGAGGATGACAGATCATTCTTTACTCTGGAAATAAAAGAAACCTCTACTCAAGGTCCACTTTCTAGCTTATCACTGTCTTCATCAGTGGATGGAGTTTACTCAGGCGTATTCTCATCACATGAGTTTTGGATAACACAGTGAGATTTAGTTGAAATCTCCAGAAAAATACCGTAAGAGGACCTTATGTTGAGATTTTCAACAGCAACAGTGAAACAAACAGTTTAGTGTTATTGTTCTTACAGAGGAGGAGGAGGAGGCCTCAGAGTGTGGGGGGGAGCAGTCCTGCTGGTCTCCACCACCTGATCACACAGAGAGAAAATGCATCATTTTCTGATTAGTTTAAATTGTTGTTTGGTCTTTTATTAATTCATTTTAACAGTTAAGATAGATTCTTAGTATTTTTTCTTTGTCCCTGCATGATGCTGTTTCTAAGGCAGGGTGTAGTTATGGTAAGAAATACTGAAATGTCTTTAATATATTGCATTTTTATTTTTCTTATAGTCCAACAATTTCTCAGGTTGTTGAACCCTTTATATTTACAGACACAGTGCTAATGACGTGACCTCAGTATCCTTAGCCATGGAGGGATAATGATGCAACAGGCACCTGAGCACAGACATGAGAAAAGCACCCCACCCCTCCTACATAGAAACAAGAGCCCCAGACTGAAAGAGACAGAAACACACACCAAGTTTTGTGTGTTTGTAGTTGTTTTGTGTCTGTTTGTAGTTTTTTGTGTCTGTCTGTAGTTGTTTTGTGTCTGTAGTTGTTGTGTGTGTTTGTAGTAGTTTTGTTAGTAGTAGTCTTTCATTGACATGTTGCAGTGAAGCCCAGGGGCGTCCTGATCCTCTGGGCTCAGGGTGTGTAATCTATCCGTGTCCTCAGTAGCAGCTACAACCCTGATGATGATGATGATTTTGTCCACTGACAGTGAACTCTAACTGCTTTTCTTTACATTCTTTTTCACTGTTGTTGGAGCATTTTCGGCCTTTATTTTGATACTAGGAGTGGACAGGAAGTAAGGGGAGGGAGAGAAGGGATGACATGACCGAACCCATCATCACTTTTCCTCCAAGAGAAATAGAGACAACCTGAGAACATAGAGACACTGAATACCAGGTCAAAGCAAAGTAAATCAAAGTTGGTGTTAAAACCTACAGAAAGAACTAAAAGTGGCAGCAGCAGCAGCAGCAGCAGCAGAACAGAGTTCAGAGCACCACAGTAGTAGCATTAGAGCAGTGGCACTAGTACTACAGTAGTAGTATTACAGTGTAAGTAGTATTTTACCTCCTGTGGTGGCAGCAGCTGAGCGTGGTGCTTCACATGGAGAGAGCAGAGGATGTGACGACTCATTAATTTAAATTAGTTCTAACGAATCATCCAGACTGTCAGTAACAAACACACAACATGTAGATCCACAGAGTCTACCATGTGTTGATCACTAAACCTAAAGCAGCTGATATAAACAGTCCAATGACAGTTTCTATCATCACTCCGCCTCTATGTTACATCCGCTCGGTCTGGAAGTGGTGAACTCACCCCGTCTCTGACGATGTTGTTGGCGTTGCCCCGGGCAACAGATGGAGGCTGCGCTCTGGGAGGAGGTCCCCTGCTGGGATTGGCTGTAGCTGCACCATCGGCTCTGAGGACAGAACGTGAGAAAAAGGTTTAAAAAAAATATATTGTACCATTTTTCTTAGTTTTCACTTCATTTATATTAAACATGAAGAAAAAGATCAAAATATAAGATAAAATCTGTAAGCATCAACTACTTATGAGGGTAATTAACACTGCATCTCCTAAATCAAACTCATTTTCAAAATCATAACTATGTTGCATAAAAATGTATGATACAGATCCAGGTTTTGGATCTGTATCATGAAGTTTCCATGTATGTGTTTTTGCAGACGTGGACTTCCACAGTATCGGCTGTAGTTGTTGCGTCCTGCACATGTTCACACTCACTGGTATCCCTGCGACCTCTTCCTGCGGCTCAGCCCGAGTCGTCGCAGCAGCTCGTTCCTGCGCAGGAAAACAAGCGCACCCAGAGCGAGCAGAGGGAGGACGAGGAAGAAGAAGACCAACAGACCGTCTCTGAGAGACGTGTCTTTATCTGAGGAGGACAGCCAGAGTTTATGTCAACAGTCTGGACTCGCACTGCAGGAATTCCACTGTAACCCAAAACATGTGGTGCCTTTAATGTGAAATCTATCATTAATATTTTCCAGCATTCTATTAATATTTTTCTGACAATTTTTCTGACATTTAATTGATATTTTTCCGTTGCAGGATGACCACCACTTCACCTGACAAGTTCTCTGCTAAGGTTCTGGAAATATTAATGACTTAATGATTTATTATTGTGATTACTGAACTAATTTTTGACATTTCGTTAACATTTCTGTGCAGATTTTTCTGACATTTAAAAAACATTTTTCAGAGATAACTCATGAAACACATGATGGAGTCTGATTTACACTTTCTGACGACATGTTTCTCTCTGATGTCCCTGATCCGCTGCTCACTGCAGCCGATCACAGTGACTTCGTTGTACTTCATTTAAAAAATGTAAACAAACATCAGCTGGTAATGAGGTTGTTGTCCTCAGTGGTTCTGGGCTCTGATTGGACGACCTCAAGTTGAATCTGGCAGCGCTGACAGTAAGTTTAAAGGTGAGCGTACCGTTCCACGTGGGTCCGCTGTCCATGCTGCCTCCGTAACCTTTGACCTCACAGAAAGGCGGAGCCCAGCCGTCCTCACAGTGACAGTTCCTGTTGCTGTTACACACCTGACGGGGACAGAGACAGGTGAGTGTGTGATGAAATGATACACCTGAGGGACAGACAGGAAGGTAGACAAGTGGGTGTGTCTCACCCCGTGTCCGTGACATTTCTTCTCCACGTCACAGTTGTAGCTCAGGACGTCGGCGCTGCGGCACTCAAAGTTCATACACACCTGAGCACCACAGAAGAAGAAAATGACCATGAACACCTCCTCCTCCTCCTCTTCTTCTTTCCTACTCCCTGTCCTTGTCTCCTCCCCCTCCCCTCCCCCTCCTCACCTTGTTGTCCCCACACTTGGTCCCCTCGTTCACCATGCCTGGGTCGGGGACGTCTGATCCCAGCATGAAGTCCACTCCGTAACATTTGGCGCCGGCGATCGGCGTGCTGATGATCGACGGTTCGATGCCAAAAACCGTTACTGCCTGAACGTTGGAGCACTGCAGCTTCCCACACAGAGCGTTTCTATGGAGACAGAGACAATCATCAGCACTGTTAACACTGTGTGTGTGTGCATGTGTGTGTGTGTGTGTGTGTGTATGTGTGTCTGTGTGTGTGTGTGTGTGTGCATGTGTGTGTGTGTGTGTGTGTTACCTGCTCTCACACTTCTTGTAGCCGTAGTTCTGGTAGCCACAGTTGCCGAAGCGATCGCCTTTACTGTTGACGTCTTTAAAGCAGATTTCAGGAGCAGCCTTCGCCTCTGAGGAGGAGGAAGAAGAGGAGGAGGAGGATGAGGAAGAAGAGGAGGAGGAGAAGGAGGAGGAGGATGAAAAAGAGGAGGAAGAAGAGGAGGAGGAGGAGGAGGAGGAGGAGGAAGAAGAGGAGGAGGAGGAGGAGGAGGATGAGGAAGAAGAGGAGGAAGAAGAGGAGGAAGAAGAGGAGGAGGACAAGCCTGTTTAACAAAAGTGACACTGAAAGAAAATCTTCATGGCATCAGGGAATGGATGACGGATGAATGAATGAATGAATTAATTAATGGATGGATGAATGAATCAATGGATAAATGAATGAATGGACGGATGAATGAATGGATGAATGGATGGATGAATGAATGAATAGATGAATGGATGGATGGATGAATGAATAGATGAATGAATGGATGGATGAAGGAGTGGATGGATGAATGAATAGATGAATGGCTGAATGGAGGGATGAATGAATAGATGAATGGATGAATGAATCAATGGATAAATGAATGAATGATGGATGACTGACTAGATGAATGAATGGATGGATGAATGAATAGATGAATGGCTGAATGGATGGATGAATGAATGGATGGATGGATGAATGAATGAATGAATGAATGGATGGATGAATAGATGAATGGCTGAATGGATGGATGAATGAATGAATGGATGAATGAATGGATGAATGGATGGATGAATGAATAGATGGATAAATGAATGAATGGATGGATGACTGACTAGATGAATGAATGGATGGATGAATGAATAGATGCATGGCTGAATGGATGGATGAATGAATGGATGGATGGATGAATGAATGAATGAATGAATGGATGGATGAATAGATGAATGGCTGAATGGATGGATGAATGAATGAATGGATGAATGAATGGATGGATGAATGAATAGATGGATAAATGAATGAATGGATGGATGACTGACTAGATGAATGAATGGATGGATGAATGAATAGATGAATGGCTGAATGGATGGATGAATGGCTGAATGGATGGATGAATGAATGAATGGATGAATGGATGAATGGATGAATGGATG